GTGGCCAGTGCAATCAGCAGCGTTGGGCTGCAGCTCAGATGGCAAAATGCCTGTTGGGGTGAAACGTCAGAGTGAAACGAAGGATCTGAGAATGGATGAAACAACAGCGTGTGGGGCTATTCGTTAGTGCCCTCTTTTTTTTTTGACATCTTCTCGGGTCCTGTTTCTTGGGTGACTCTCAGGGGTTTCCCAAGGGCGTGTAAAGGGGTCCGGGGATAAGCCAGCTTGGGCAGCTGGGTGCATGTAGATTGATGGCAAGCTGTGGTGCATAGCTGGCAGATGCATCAATCTGACGTCAACTTTCGACTTGGCCATTCCTGCTAGTTTGCTGGTCGGCCAGCAGGGCAGTCAGTGCCTCATCTGTAGTTGCCTGTCGTACTGGGACCTGACTGGGCAAGCGGTGCAGTTCAACCTGATTGCATCGACAGAGCCAGAAACAGGTGACTCCCTCCTCAAATTGCGGTGGGATGGTCCAACGTCGCTGGGGTTCCCTTCCATCATCACAGAACAGCCACATTGTGGGATTTGCCAAATCAGTGGTCTCCGGGAAAGTCTTGAGCAGAGCCTGATAGTGGCCACCTTGGGCTTCTCCGATATGGGCAAAAGCAGCGACTAGTTGGTACGGTTCCCAACGCACTGGCATATCATGTTGGAGGATGGGGATCTGTACCAACCAGCAGAATCGGATCACGGTATGGAGTTTTTGCAGTCGGCCAGTATCGTTGTGGAACAACCGGTCAATATGCAAAACCACAAGATCCGAAGGGTCAGTAAGGCCCGCACTCATGCCAAGTTCTCCGTGCCACAGCCTTACCAGTGATTCCAGGCTAACTTGATTGTCTGCGATCATGTCCATGTCCAATTGCAGTGTGATGGGCATGTATATGTCGCCGCTATCATGTAGCTCTGTCCTTTCACTGGTGTGAACTCTGCGTTCCCATCGATTTGATACAATGGATGTCCCCACCCAGGTCAGCAACCGATGTGTGAATTCTGCACTATCTGCTTGAGAATCAGGATCATGCCAGGAAGCAATGAGTTGGTTGAACCATTCATATTCATCCAAGGAGATCATGGTTGTGTTGTCACGCTGCAGTAAATTCAAAAAGGTTGCTGACTGAGAGCCCCAATCTTGATATTGAAAATTGACCCTGGACAGACAGGACCACCAATAGCACAGCGTCGCACTGTTGGCGTAGCATAGTGATCCTGGGTTTTGGAGCACTAGCATTGTCAGCATCTGTCTCAGGTCATGTCGATGTTGGAAGGTCACGCTGTTGGCGTCGATGTCGTCGGGGTGGATGGCTGCTGCTTCACCTGTTTCCCCTTGCCGCGTCCTTTGCCCTTGCCCAGGAGGTCGGCCAGCTGTTGGGCAGGTTTGGAGTACACCTGTTGGTGCCTCTTCAACGACATGGCCATGAGGCCCCACACTGAGTTCCCCGTCAGCTCGTTGAATGTGGCCCACAGTTCTGAGTCCCGCAAGGTCAGCTGGAGGATCCATGGGGTGACTTCTTGCTGCGTCTTGAGGCTCTGAAAACGGAGGACGTGCATGTTGTCCTGGAGAGCTGCGATCAAGACCTTCAGGAGCTTCACCATCTGACCCATCGGAATGGGTGTCCGCTTGGTGGGAATGAGTTGTTGGTCCGATGGTGACCACTTCATGTAGACCCATGACCCGTCCTGCAGGATGGTCTGCTTCGTCACCGCGGTGTCCCATAATTGCTGTCCTGGCTGGCTCTCTTGCAGTTGCACCACTCTGGTCAGCAGTTCTTGTAGGAGACCTCGGAGGAGATGGCTGCGTAATGTCAACCATTGGGGGTTCTCCTGGTTCTGTGGCGCTTTCGTCTTCCATTCCTGTGCCAGTGTGGCCATGATGGGCATCATTCCGATTGGATGGGTGCGGGCAAAGATAACGTAGGAGTCCTGATGGTGCAAGGTCTGGAGGCTGCGCTCGTGGTTCAGGAGCAGTTGTGCCATCTTCGTGACGACCTGTGTCAACACCTGTACTTGTCGTTGATCTCCGTGCTCCTCTTGTTTGGGCCCCTTGTGGCGTTTGGTTGTCCTGTCGTCGTTTGCGAGCTCCTGTTTGCGAGTACCCAGGAACATTGGTGCCAGCGCTTGCAGGCTGTCCATCAGCGCTTGGTCGTGGGAGTCCCACGCCCCGTAGTCCATGGGTTGGCAACAGCAGAAGAGCGATCTGACGCAGGACTGGGCACCCTGAGTGGAAATGTGCTTGCAGTCGTAAGCAGCGTTCTCTGGGTTCCATCAAGTCACTTGGGGAATGCGGCAAGTTGAAAATCAGCTGGCAGAATTGGCATTGGTAGTCCTGTGGTTGCATGGATTGCATGCTGATGCTGAGCTGATATGTGATCTGAGCCGCCCACATGCATGCATCGTGGTGCATGGTGAGCAGGTGGTACAGCATTTGGGTGGCGTGGTAAAACCCGCCACAGATCACACATCGAGTCCTGAGCAGGATCAGCACGTCCAGGTCCTGCCACAAGCTGGAGAAATTGCGTTCCTGTAGCAAAACTCTCAGGCGCTGAATTTGTTCAGTGTTGCCAAGATTGATCAACATTGCGTCCAGAAGCTGAGGACTGTACACCGTGGGTACCAATACCTCCAGTTCACTTTGGTGAAAGGCCATAGCAAGTTGACGCACCACTGTGCACACGTGAGTGCGATTGTTCTGATGTACCTGTGGGTTGCAAAGGCATCCTGTGTGAGCAATGACCGTCTGCAAAAGAAATCTCAATGTTTCTTGTGAATTGTTCCAGAGTGCCGGGTGGGACTGCAGGAGATGAGCCACAAGGTCGCCCTGGCGCTGGTATCGCGTCCCGCAGAATTGACATGTCAGAGTCAGCTTGATGCGGTGTATTGCTGTAAGGGCCGGAGCTGTGAACTGTCCTGCAGCAAGCAAGGAGGACCATCGATCAGCAGCGTTCAGAGGCTGGGGGCTCGACAGGGGGTCGAAAGACATGCATCGACCCTCCGTTATGTGGCGCCGCAAGCCTGAGCGCGACATGAATATTTCGCCGCAGTGCATGCAGCCATCACTGTCCTGGTGCGCGTCCCTGGCAGGGCACCAGTCGTTGATGGTGAGTCCATGTTGTTGGCAGAGGTGTCTGTATAAGTTCCCCATACTGTCCTGGTCTGAATCACAGATCTCACAGCGGCGTGCAATTGACGGTTGGATGCAGGCAGCTTGATCCAAGTTACACAAAATTCCAAGTTGCAATGCAACAGGGCAGCTGTGAACCCGTCGAAAGTCTTGGCCGCAGAGGATACAAGGTGATGTACCTGGCAGCAGGTGTGTGATCTGTGTGCCTTTGGCAACTCCACCACCAATGAGCGTGGGATGATAGAGGCGCAGATGTCCATGTAGTTCTTGGAAACGGTTCTGCCACATGCCACAAATCATACAGTGATTCTGCAGATATTCGCTCAGGTCTGGCAGGTCTGCAATTGCGTTCCAACTGCGTGTATGGATGCATTGTTTGAGCCGTGTCCAAAAACGCTGTGTTGCACCATGAAACTGGTCGACGTCTGCTGGTTGGCTGGCAAGGGTCGGTTCCCGATCTTCAATGTCAACCCTATCCATTGCAGGCCGCCACCAGTGACGTGGCTGTGCAGCTGTGACCTGGCAACAATTTCGTTCAATGTGGATTGAAAAAGAACGCCATGTGGTAAACACTTGGTGACAGTGACTACATTGAGGTCGGCCATGGAGTGCAAAATCCAAGGGGAAAATTGCTGTTGTCCTATGTTGATACTTGGCATGGGCCACCGTCAAATGTCTACGCAGGTTGGGGATCGAGTTCGTGACAAAAGAACAGCATGGGCATTGTTGAGCCTGTGTGGAGACTGGCTGATGTTGGTCCACCGCTATGGGTACCTGCGCACTGGTGTCATGAATGGAATCAATGAGTCGGAGAGTTTCGGTCAAATGTGTCCATGGGATCGTGAGGACAATGTCATCGGATGCACTGGTGTCAGCCCGCCTGTTCAGGCGTCGGAGCATGTTCATGGCAAGTCGTCCCAACATCGGCAGCGGGAGTTCAATGTTATGTGCCTGAAATGCCTGCTTGCGTGTGATGTGTCCTGTATGAGTGGTCACCTATCACCATCCGAATCATTGTGTACACTGTCTGCTGATATTGATGCAATATCTTGACTGTGCTGTTCATATCCAAGATCCCATAGGTGAGGATCGTGTGCACGCAGCTTCTCCACAAATGCAGTTTGTATCGGACTGAAAGCTGACGGCTCTGGAGCCATTTCTTCAGGCGGTTGAATGCCAGCCAGGCTGATTTGCAACGGTGCTTCCATGTCAATTCCTCCATCATGCGATAGCTCATGATAGCTCCTAGGTACCGTCCAGATGATTTCATCGGTATGGAGGTGGTTTGACCTGTTCCACGAGGGATCTCAAATGTTGTACCATGTGACCCACGTCGGACGTATGGTTTCATGTACAAACGCGGGTTTGTCCCAGCAACTGTCAGCAAGAGAAAAGACTTTTCACAGGAGATCGTCATGCACAGGTCTTCCAAAACATTTAAAAGGTGTCCCATGTTGGTGACCGCCATTCGAAGGGCTCCTTCTGATTCAAAGCTGCAGCCGACATGTATATCGTCCGCGTAGAGCGTGACGCATTGGGCAACCCATTCATGACCAGTGTGGGTAATGAGTCTGTCCAGAAACAGGTCCATATACTCCAACCACAATAACGGGGCGGCTTTACAGCCTTGGCGTAGGCCGCGACCTACTTTGATGGTGGTGGTAGCACCCTGGAATTGTAGTTTGTAGTGGGTATTTTCGTGCCACTTAGATAGGAGGACAAGGAGGGATTCCGGTATTTCTTGATTGGAAAGATGCGTGAATAAAGTAGATCTATTGACACTGTCAAAGGCACGTGTCATGTCAAGAAATAATGATATGCCCCCACAAATCTTCAGTTTGGGTGTTCCTGCAATCCGTTGGCCCACTGTGCGTCTCTGGGATCCGACGAGACTTCTCACCATGCTATGGTGTCTACTAACCCGGCAGATTGCATCAGCAGCTGATCGGAAGGGCAGAAAACCAAAATGTGGAAATCGACTCAACTTAGGAAACACGTGACGTTTGAGTTGAGCGGTGAGTAGGCCTATGGCAATTTTACCCAATGGCTCCATGAGAGAAATGGGTCTTAAATGTGCCGGGCTGGTGTTGGGCTTACCCGGTTTGGGTAGGAAGTAAATCCATGAATCCTTCCAATTTTGGGGGATGATTGGGGGATATTGTTGCCACCAACTTTCAAGGACAGGGTATAAATGTTGGGCTATCTCTTCAGCTGAACCCTTCCATATCAGCGCTGGCAGGAATGGCTGTGCAACTGATTTGTTTGGATGTTCCGCTGTGATGGCATCCACTAGCTCCGCACGGGTGAAAGGCAGGCCCGGCGCACTCACGGTGAATTCAGGCAGTTGCGATGGTCCTTTCCAGGTGTCACGTACATACTGGACGGTGATGGCATGTGCAACATGTTGGTTGGCGATTTGTCCTTCTGCTGTGCGCAGCCGGGCTCTGGTCAAAGGCTTCTTGGGTGCATACCTGTTGATGATTTGAAACATCAAATGGGCATCATGGGCCCTGGCTGCATTGTCTACCTCTGTGCATAATTCTCGGAACTTGGCAGCTTTGATCTGCCTGGTCTGCCGCTGCTGTTGACGTTGCAGGCTGCAACAGCGGCTCCAGTGAAACCATGCCTGGATGCATCGAGTGATGAGAGTCTTCTGTACATCGGAGGCTATGGTGCGTATGCAGTATCTGTGTTGCCATTTGCTTTCCATTAAAACATGCACGGGCCCACTGTCCGAGGTGTTCGAATGCTTGGCCTTCGGGAAAAGGGTTTGGAAAATAGGTGCAACCATGTCATGGAGATTACAAATTGCGGCATCCGGTGTTTCAGCAATTGCGATCTGCCTGACTGCATTGGATACTGCATGTTGCAGGGATATCCATGTGTCGGATTCCTGCAAGCTGGCTTGGCGGCATTTGGATCTTTGTGTGTATGTGCAGGTTGGGGTAAGTTGTTGAACTTGATATGGCATCATTCGAGTCTTGATTGAACACCTGACAGGGACATGATGGGTTTGGTTAGTAGGGATGATGTCAGCATTGGGAAGGAATTGTGTCTGTTTTGCAATACCATCACATTGGGTCAACCGCATGAACACGTGATCTATCTTAGATGCAGTGTCTCCGTGGATGTAAGTCGGTCCTTGGGATTCGTCCCACGATGTGAGATCAACCAATGCATGCTGTCTGATTATGGTCAGTAGTTGGTCGTGATCAGCATGTAAGCGTCCCTGTCTGCGCCGTCCATTCCACTTGAAGGCATCTGTGCCAATCCATGGAGCTGCTCGAGGAAGGGAGCAGTTAAAATCTCCTGCAAGGATGAGGCTGTTACGGCTGGGCATTCTGTATAGACTTTCATTGAGCGCCTGCCAGATTCCTGCCCTCGCTTGTGTTGATTGGTGATTGCGGTTGTCAACATATTGGTACAGTGCCAACAGGTCCACTGCTCTCCGATCAAAGTGCATACGGACGTGAACCAGGCGTCCAGGCCGTTGTTCCTCGTAGCCAATGTTGTCGGGATGACAAAAATGGCGCGCAATCATGATTAATATGCCCCCCGTACGGGATTCCAAAGCTGCCGAGTGTATATATGACCATCGCTGATCTTGCCAACAGGAAGAAAAGCTCCACCTGGTCTCCGTTATCACAACGGCATCGGTCGGATTGAATGTGAGCCAGTGCTTGAACTCTTGGAACGTGCTCTGGGCCATACCGCCAGGGTTCCAATGTAGCAAGGTCATTCTGGAGTGGCGTACAGGAGTTGGTGGTGGATGAGGAGCTGGTCGACGTTGTCGGCTCTGTTCCTGTTGTACCCTTGCAATCAAATTCGAAGGAAAATCTCTGAGTGAAACCTCACGACCACGATATCTGGTGCACCCAAAAGTCAATGCTCTTTTGCACGCACGTTTATAGCTTCTTTTCTGTGCTCCTGTATAGGGCTGAGGGGAAGGACATGTGCCGTGGCACCTTGGAGGCGGTTGTCCACTGTTCGCAGGATCTGCACAAAAATGCGTAATCCATGCATCTGCTCCAGTAACCGTTGTGGTGCGGTTACAACCCTCACCCTCGTGCGCACTGCCATCCTGAAAGAAGTCCGTGAGATGTGTCTGCCGGAGAGGTTGATATGGTACCTTCATCCCTGTGCACACGCCCGGAATTGGGACCGGGTTGCGGTCGGCAGCACGCTGGCAAGGAATCCAAAATTGCAATCTGAAAACTGTCCAAATGATCCAAAATCCAATTGTCATCGATTGTATCATGTAGGGTAGCCCGGTTCAAGGGTAGCGTTGACCAGCAGGAACCAGGCCCCCAAAATAAAATTAATGTAAGATGTCGGAATGGACAGTCAGCTGGGGAGCCACCCCTTGTGTACACAGCGTCGATGGATGGGAGCAACCCCAACAGTATTGCCAGTGTCCAGTCAGAAAAGGGAGACAACCCCTATGGCCAAACGGAGCACGAAACAACAACGCGGGGGGCAAAACAGCCACGGCGATTGCAGGACTCCTCGTCCTCTGAGAGCGGTGCTCGAGACCGCAAAGGGCTTGTGTGTGTTTGTGTGTGTGTGTGGGTGGGTGGGTGTGGGTGTGGGTGTGGGTGTGGGTGTGGTGTGTGTGTGTGTGGGTGGGTGTGGGTGTGGGTGTGGGTGTGGTGTGTGTGTGGTGTGTGTGTGTGTGTGTGGTGTGTGTGTTTTTTTTCCAACACTCCTTTTTGTGTCTGCTCAAAAAGGTTCGTGCCAGCCAGCGTAGCGTTTGCTACGGTTCCTTGGTGGAATCGTCTGGCCTCTCTCACAACGGTTTCATTGGAGAATGTAGCTGTTGCTTCATTTGCACAGCTTGGAGAAAATACAAAATGACTCAGGCTAAGGCTGCATGTCTGGTTGTTGATGCAAATCGCCTGAATGGATCAGCTTCCTGTGTTGGATGGCATGGTTTCAGTGAGCTCCTGCAAGGGCTGTCGATGTGTGTAACGGTACAGCTGAATGCAGTCAGTCCGAATGAGCCAGAAGACATTGGCTGTGCGGGACATCCATCCAGGAATGCTCCATGTAGGGATGGGGGAATGCCAGTCATTTGTCAACAGCCATTCCGCAGGTGTGGTGCTGTCAATCAAGACTGGCGCCAATCGTAGTGCTGAACGGTAGTGGCCTCCCTTGTCACTGCCAAGGTGTGACATCAGAGCAATGATTTGATATTCCACTGGCTCGTGCTGCAGTCCTGAACCTGAAAACGTAGGGACAATGCAGGTGTTGTCCGGGTTGATCTTGCATTCACTTTTGTAGATGTCGCCTCTTGGAGTCTGAACACATCTGTCCAAATGGATGCACAAGCAAATCGGTGCTGTGGTCAGGGCTGCTTGCATACCATCGACCTGTCGCCAGAGGTTGAACAATGAGGTCAAATCACAGCTTTGCGTCTGCGCAAGATGAGCATCAAACTTCAAACAAATTGGCATGTATGGGCCACTGCTATCAACTGTGCATGGACGGTCATTTTCAAGCAGTCTGCGTTCCCAGCTCATATCAAACGCCGGGGTGCCAAGCAACTCAAGCCAAACATGTATGAACTCTGCTGCATCCTGTTGTGAAAGTGAATCTATGTCAACCTCAGGATCACTGCTACCCCAGCAACGCATGATGTGTTGAAACCAGGATTCATCGCCTAGATTGGCATGAGTGCAGTAATGACCAAGCAAAAATTGTGTCAGCATCGTGCGTTGCGTGCCCCAATTTTGGAAATCACATGTCTGGAGGGACAGAGTTGTCCACAGGAAAGAAAGCACTGCTGCATTCGCAAAACAAAAGTTCCCTGGATTCTCCAAGGTGAGGAAGGCCACAGGTGTCTGTAGAAATTTCATATCAGCATTGGTAAGTGCTGGATCGGCAGTCACTTCTCCTCTTTGGCTGCTTGTTTCGTCTTGGTCTTGGATTTCCCTTTGCCCTTGCCTTTCGAGGTGCCTTTTGTCATTCCCAATGTCGTCTGGAGTTGATGTGCCAGTGGACTTTGGGTTTGGCTGTGAGGCTTCAAAGAACCCCCCATTGTCAGCCAAAGGGCTGAATGAGAGAGCATCTGAAGGATTTGCCATGGCTGATCGCTCCGCATGCTGATTTGAAGCTTCCACGGCGTCACGTCCTGATTCTGTCCAGTGGGCAGGGCATGGAATCGTCTGACCAAGTTGACATCGCTCAGGGCCTCCAGCATGTCCGTGCAGAGCTGGTGCAGGTGCTTCAGAGTCAGCGGTTTGCGCTGGCTGACTCGGAGTTTCTTGGATCCCTGATCCCACTCCAGAAAGGGGCATGTTCCATCTGGCAACAGCAGCAGAGTGCTCAGTGCTGCCTTCATCACGTCGGAGCCCTCCTGGGCGGCTCCCAGTCTGTCCAGTTTGTTCAGCAAGGTCGTGAACAGAACCTGCATCAATTTCTGGCGTAGTGGGATCATTGGTGCCTGTGTGATGGCCTGCTTCTGTGCTTGATGGCTCTGTGCCCATGTCTCCGTGGTTTGCATGAGGAGTGTCAGGCAGCTGTCTGGCCCTTTGTTGCTGAAAAAGAAGATGTAAGTGTCCTCTTGTTTCATCAGCTGCATGTCCCGGTCGAGCTTGAGAGCTAACTTGGCCAGCTGAGACATCGCCTTGGCCAGGTTGAGCGTGTCTGGCAGGCCCCGCTGATGGTCTTGTTTGACCAGTTCGCCTTTTCTTGGCCGCTTGGGTGCCGCCGTGTTCTGGTCCAGTTTCAGGCTCTTGTCGATCAAGGGTGCCACATGTTGAAAGGCTGCCCAAATCTGCTCGGACATTTCTTGGGATTCCGGCATGTCCTCGTCTGCAATGTCTGCCATGTGCGGCTTTGCCAAGGATGATGGCAGTCTGGAGCAGGTTCGGACACTGAGTCTGAAAATGGATTTGAACCAGTTGCTGTCGATCAGTGGGCTCTTGCAAGGGTGCCATATCTGGTGGACAATTGAACACTTGTGTGCATGCAAAGCATTGGAAATCATTCTCAAGTGCTGCAGCAAATCGGCTGAGTAATTGCTGTTGCATGTGTTTGATGAGTGGTTGTCCACATTGGTGCGCCTCGTGCAGGTGGATCACAAGTGCTGCCGGGTGCATTGTGGTCCCACATAGGATGCATGTGCTCCTCAATAGGGTCAGCAGTTCAGGTACTTTCCAATGTGCTTCAATGGAGTTTCCTGTGATGGCACGTTCGAGCATGAATCTGGCCTCTCTGTCCAGGCGGCTGGAGTACAGCATTGTGAGTTCCTCTTCCGTCGGGATGTGCGGATACAGGATGGGTTCCTGCAGTCGCATGAATTGCATTCCAAGCTGGCGCAGGGGCAAGCACACGTGATGGCTTCTGTGACTTCCAATGTTGGGGTTGCATAAGCAACCAGTTTCATCATACAGGAGCCCCACGAGGAAGCCTGTAACGGCCTGAGCCGCTGACCATAACTTTGGATGAGCAGCCATGAGGTGACCTGAGAGGTCGGATGCTCTCAGGTACCGGCTCTTGCAGTTCTGGCAATGGAGAGTCAGTTCCATGCGAACGTGAGGATCTCTCAGTGTATTGGCCATTTGGCCCTGACAGAGGGCTGCAATCCATTTGGGCTGAACATCCACAACTTCTGTCGGCAGATCAGCATTGAAATTGAGGCATCTGCCCTGCACGATGTGAGAGCGCAGGGACTCCACATTGTCATACATGGTCAAGCAGTGGGCACATACCGGTTCTCCTTCCAAGGTGTCTCTGGCTGGGTTGAAACTTGGATTGCTCAAACGATGCTCTTTCACAAGATGGTTGTTCAGTTCATCACTGTTGGCAAAGTACTCCATGCAAATTTCACAACGCAAAGCTGTCTGAGGTGGTGTTGGTCCTTCATGTGTACCTCCTCCGTAGACCAACAAGAGAGCCAATTGTACCCAGTTCGGGCATTGATGTGCCGATTTGAAGAGCGCATGGCAAAACGGACAGGGCGTCTCCTCACCATACAGGTTGGATAACTGAATGCCTTTGGCTTGCACATGTGGCCAAAATTCTGGGTGATGTATCTTCAAATGGCGGTGAAGTTCTTGGGTTCTGCCCAGGAATTGGTCGCACAAGCAGCATCTGGATGCTAGGTAAGCACATGCATCAGTCTCCTTCCGCATATGGTGCCAGGCTCTGGTGGCCACTATGGTGAGCACACGTGTGCCCCACTCCTGATGTTTCAGGTTGGCAAGATCGGCATCTGTCAGGACTGCATCTCCTCTGATGGGTCCATCCATTTTGGCTGCAAACATGTCTGGTTGCGGAGGTGGGTCTGAGGCAAGTGGCCGTCTTGGGTCAGCCCAGCACCTCGTAGGGCCCGCAAGCAGTGCCTGGCAGCCACGCTGTATGTGAACATGAAAATTGCGCCAACTGGCAAACTTTTGATGACAGTATTTGCATTGGGGCATCCCATGTAGCATGTAGTTTGTGTGTGGTGCAGGAATACTTCGGTTCATGCGATTTTCATGCATCATGGTGCAGTGGCGTCTGAATTGTGCAACATCTGCCGTTTGGTAAAGGCATATTTGGCACTGGTGAAGTGCAGGGTGCACCTCAGGTTCAGGCGTTTGCACAGGAGCAGCAGGTCCTGTGTGCAGGTGCCACTGTATTTGGTCTCGCAATGTGTCCAAGTGCGTCCAATCAAGCTGTCTGATGATGTCAGTTGGGGTGGCTTGAGCAAGGCGGTATGTCAGGGACCTCTTCAGGCTGTCAATGGTGGCCAGCAACCATTCAAGCGGCAATGCGACACCGTTTCTCTGGAGGGCCGTTTGATGACTGTGACCAGTGATGTAGGCATGATTTCCAAGGATCTGACGCAACATTGAAAACATGTGTTTTTGAATGTGTTGCATGCCAAATGTGGTCAGGCCTAATGAGAAAACACCATAAGTCATGACAGGATAAACACAGGTGGTGAAAAGCTGCACTCGTTGCCGTCTGTTCAGTCCACGTTTGCCCGTGAGCCATCTGCGAAGCCTACTAAAAGCAATTCTGGAGAGTTGGACGCGATGCAGCACGGTCTGATCTTCCCATGTGGTGTATGAAATCACTGTGCCTAAATATTTGGCTTGTCGTGCAAGTGGGATCCAAATGGGTTCATGTGTGTCAGAGTGGAAGCCAATCCATTCTTTCCCGTCGCGCCAGGCAGTCATGGTCAGGCATGCCTTCCTGTGGGCGGTGCCCCCCATTTTGAGCAAGGCTATGCATTTGGCTGGGTTGATTGTCAAACCAAAACGTTGGATGAGCTGCAAGGTCTTGGCAATGTTTTGCATGAGAGTTTGCAATTCCTCATGGGAGGTGTACAAATCGCCCATTTGGCAATCATCTGCAAAAACATTCACACAATTGGCAACCCAGCTTGGACTGGTTTCACGGCTCAGCTCAAGCAAAAAAAGCCACATGTACCCCGTCCATAAAAGGGGGGCGGCACGGCATCCCTGTCTGACCCCCCTACCCACCGCAATTGGAATGTCTTCACCATTGCTGTTTAAGTGGTAGTGGGTGTGTTGATGCCAATGAGAAAGTAATATGACTATTTGGGGATTGATGCCAATTTCTCCCAGTCTGGAAAATAACTTTGCTCTGCTTACCGTGTCAAAGGCCTTTTCAATGTCTAAGAAAAGTTGGAGTCCTCCTGCAACACGATATCTGTGGCGGCCACTTTGGCGTGAGAAGGGGGTGGATCGCAGGCATGTCATCATGGTTCGAACAGCAAGGCAATGATGTCCTACTCTGAGCAGTGCATCTTGGGTTGACCTGCCTGGGAGATAGGCCCAAAGAGGCATCTGTGTGAAGGCTGGCATTGCTTCCCATAGGGCTTTTCTGGTTAAAAGGCCTACAATGCATTTACTGACCGGTTCCTGCAGCGCCAACGGGCGCAGTACGCCCGGTGATACTGGAGGTTTGTTCGGTTTTGGGATAAGTATCATCCAGCTATCACGGAACCACCCTGGCAAAAATGGCTCTGGCCTATCCCACCAGTCAGTCAGAAAAGCATGAATTTGCGGTGCCAGTTGTGGCGCAAGTGCTCGCCACACTGTGCCAGGAGCGCACGGTCTGGCCACTGCACGTGACTCCGGGATTCTGCTCATTTCTGCTTCCAGTTCTTCTACTGTGAACGGCATACCTGAGTGTGGATATGGCTGCGTTGGAAAGGTTGAGGGTCCCTTCCAGGTCTCCATGATATGTTTCTTCAGCATGGCGGTTTCTTCAATTGGTGAAGCAATGTTACCTTGGGGGTTACGAAGCTGGATTTTACGCTTGGATTGTTTAGGGGAATATTTATTGATGATGGTGAATAGGGCATGACTGTCATGTCTTTGAGCAGCATGTTGTGCAGTCTGTAAGACTTCTTCAAAGCGCTGCTGTCTCACTGTCTTGGCGTGGTGCTTGGACTGGCGATTCAGTTGTGCAAATTTGGTAAGGTGCATCCAAGCCTGAAAGAGAGCTGGCAGCGTTGCTTGGGTCAAATGATGGAGTGCACGTCTATGTTGCCACTTGGTCATGACAATATGTTCAGTAATTGGATCTGTTGTGGATGATTTTTTGGGGGTAATTGGAAATGATGATTGGAAGCATTCAATGGCTACTCGATGCATGGTTGGTATGACATCGTCTTCTGAGTGCCGCGCTTTGGTCAGAGTGTCCGTCAGTGCAGTGGCCGTGTGAGTCACAAACGCTTGCCATTCAGGTGTGTTCAAACGGCATGCAATATGACCTTGTCTCCTCTGTTGCGGCGTGACACCCCATGCATGACGGTGTTGATGTGGAGCATACCATTGCTGCCGGAGTTGCGCAATCATGGGGACATGTCCATCCTCTCCCTGAAAAGGAGCATCTCTGGCATACAAAACGTCCTTTGAAACTCCATCTGCAACATGTTTGCGCGTCATGATGAAATCAATTCTGGAGCAAGCATTGGCATGTTCATATGTCGGTCCTAATTTCGGTGACCATGTGTTCAGGGCGGTAAGTCCATGCAGGCGCACCAGGGAGGTGAATCTGCCATTGTCACTGTGCAAGGCCCCTCGGGTGAGAGTGCCTCTCCAGTGAAAAATTTCTGGGCCACTGTGTGATGCTGCTTGCAACAGATCACAGTTGAAGTCGCCGCCCAGAACTAGGATGTTCCTTGCAACAAGGCCATGCATCAACTGTTCAAGTTGGTCCCAGAGCTGCGCCCTGGCTGTTTGTCGTTGGGTCGTGGCTGCATAGGTGTGTTGGTAACACCCAATGAAGTCAATGGCTCTGCTAGCAAGTTGGACCTGAATGTGCACGAGGCGTCCTGGGTGAACAACTCTCCATTTCAATCGGTCTGCCGGGCAAAAATGCTTGGCAAGGATGCAGAGGATTCCCTGTCCTGCATGTGTCAGGTCTCCGGTGTGCACGAAATGAAAATCGCTATCACTCCACGTGCTTTCAAATTTCCATCTGGTTTCAGTGATGATGGCAGCTTCTATGCATTGATGTTTCATCCAGATTTTCAACTCATCTAGGCGATAGGCACTGAGGCCACCTGCATTCCAATTCAGGACACGAAATCTGGTCTTATCAGTGTGTTGCCAATTGCTTTGCGTCTGCGGATGCTTCTGTACAGGTTTTTGAGGCATGGATGGTTGAAAATTCTCTCGCAATGCTTGTGGAAAGTCATTGGGTGCATAGCTGCGGCCTTTGTACCAGGAAAACCCCTGCTGGAGAGCTCTGGCATAGGCACGTCGGATGCTCCTCTTGACTACTGGTCTTTGCCGTTGTGGGAGAGGCCAGTGGGCTGCTATCTTGCATGTTTCTGGCCGTGTGTCATGTCGCTTTGTGTCACTGGGTGTGTGCTTCATAGACTTCATGTTGTGTGACACTTCTGCGCCTTCCATGACTAAGGCGCAACCCTCACTCCTCACAGGCTTGGCAGGAAAAAGGACTGTTTGTGGGTCGGTGTGTGTGACAGCGCCCACAGCGGAGCAATGGCCAACAAGCCTGTGCCTGGACTTGGGACCAGGACTGCACCCCCAGCGCTGTACAAGGGAGTATGCTCTCTGTTGTGCAAGCCAACTAGCAATGGCGGCAGGCTGTGTCTGTGCTCGGTGCTGCTCGGAAAGGGGTGCAAAAATGATTGTTAATATCTGCCAAATGATCTTTCGAAACAAAACCAGTTCAACTCGCCAGAGTTGTCTCGCACGGCGCAAGAAATCAAACCTCTGAGTGGAAGTGGTTTGTTTGGAAAAATAAATCACAAGGCAACTGGACTGAATTTCTATTGATGGATCTGGGAAGGCAACAATGCAACAATCTTGGTCTGTGGTTCTGTGTGCTGGACCAGGGTTCGAAGAAGCGTCTGCACGCTTTGGATCAAAACTCTGTGAGGTTGTCCTCAGCGCTTTCGGTCCTGTCAATGGGGCAAAGAAATCAAGTGCCCTGGTGTCTGCACAACAAGACCACAAGTTCAGATTCGTGTATGTCGCTGTGGCTGGCTCAAAAGTCCTGTCTGGAGTTAAACAATTGCGGAGTCCTGGCACCTCTTGCAATCTCAGTGTGGTGTCAAAAAACTGGTTTGGTGCACCCTGTGATTCAGCTTGCCAAAGAAAAAGTTGATTATGAAGGGCCAGAAAAAATATTGTAAGGGAGCCCACCCCTCGCACTGGGAAAAATGTGTTCTTTGGGGCCAGTGAGAAATAAAGGGAGCCCACCCCTGAATTGTCCAAGTTCTGTGCTGTGGTCCTCTGGCAGGTTGGTGTGATAATGAAATCTGTCTGCACTGATTCTGTGTGAAATGCCAATGGAATTCGAGCACGCTCGTCAAAACGTTGAGGAGTGCCTGATCCACTGTTGTATGATCTGTAATCTCTGCCTGAGGTCCTGGAGTATGATCGGGCCAGTGAATGGTTGTGGGAGCCCACCCCAATGAATTGTCTGAAATTATTGAAAAAATGGGCCAGTGAGAAAATAAGGGAGCCCACCCCGTTGTTGTCTGATGTCAGCGTTGTGGTCCTCTGGCAGGATGTAAAGGCAATGAAGTCGCTCTGCAAGGGACTCTCTGTGTGAAAAGCCAGTGTGCCGCGGATCCTTTCGTCAATCCTCTGAAAAATTCTGAATCCACTGGTGTGTGACCAGCACAAACGTTCCAATTTCCAATTGTATGTTTGGGCCAGGGAGCAGTTCAGGGAGCCCAAGGGAGCCCACCCCAATTATGTGTTGGAAATGATGAAAGGATATAGGGGCCAGTGAGAAAATAAGGGAGCCCACCCCTTTGTCGTCAGTCTGTTGCGTGGTGATCCTTTGTCCTGTGGAAAAATCGCTGAAATCTGTTGGCAAGGAGCACGTTGTGCAAGAAGGCTGGTGATCGCCAGCACTGTCGTCAAACCGTTGATGAGTGCCGGTTCCTCTGTTCTGTAGTCTGCTGAATTGTTCTGATGTCCAATACTGTGAACGGGCCAGTAAATAGTTGTGGGAGCCCACCCCAATTGTTGTTCTGAAAATATCGAAAAATGGGGCCAGTGAGAGATGAAGGGAGCCCACCCCTGTCAAAGATTGGGCCTGAGTATTGTCGTGGGAGCCCACCCCCCAAGTGCTGGTGTTTGATCTGGAACAATCAGTCGGGGAGTCCACCCCACGCAAAAATGTCTGTTGAAGCTGATTTGAATGCTCGTCAATCTGTGCAAGGTGTCCAGGAAAATGCCGCAAAGTAGCTGTAGTGGCGCAATTCAAGTCTGTCTGCTTTGCAAAATCGTCAATGGAAAAATGCAAAAAAGCCAGAATGCAGGGAATCGAAATGTACTGCCAAAAAGTCGTCGTTGCGTGAGAGGCCAGGTCAGATTTCGGGGAGCCACCCCCAGAAGAAACAAAAGGATGTCAAAGATCCAAAAGAGATGTCAGGTCCAGTTCCTCGGTCCAGTTGGCAGCAGCGCGTTGATGAATATGGCACCCCCCCCAGCAGAACGCGGGCAATGGATATGGCTGCGGCCTCGCTAAATGAGGCACTTGAGAGCACCAGGGTGGTGCAAAGGAGCTTGGTGTGTGTGCGTGTGCGTGTGCGTGTGCGTGTGCGTGTGCGTGTGCGTGTGCTGTGCGTGCGTGTCTGCGTGGCGTGCGTGTGTTCGTGGGTGGGGTGGGTGGGGTGTGGGTGTGTGTGTGGGTGTGGGTGTGGTTGGGTGTGGGGGTGGGGGGGGGGTGGGGGTGGGGTGGCGGTGTGGGGGTGGTGGGTGTGGGTGTGGTGTGGTGGGGTGGTGGGTGTGGGTGTGGGTGTGGGTATGGGTGGGGGTGGGTGGGTGTGTGGTGTGTGTGGGTGTGGGGTGTGGGTGTGGGTGTGCGTGTGTGTGTGTGTAAAAGCCCCTCTGTGTTCAAAGCCTCTGCATGTAAACTCATTTGTGTCCAAAAGCGTTTCTGTGTAAAACAGAAGCTGTGTAAAAACTTCTGTCTGCAAGAGCTTCTCCGTGTCAAACCTTTGTGTGTACAGGCTGTTCTGTGTAAAGGTTTCTTTGTGTAGATGCCTCTGTGTGTCAAAGCTTGTCTTTGCAAAAACTTTTCTGTGTAAAACTTGCAGCTTCTCTTCAATCTTGCCACTCTGACTGTCACTCAGGTGCCAACCCTGGAGCAAAGTTCCTGTGGGGACAAAGAGCATCAATCTATGGATGTATGACATTTGACCTGTGTCAGCTATCATTCTTCATCTTCATCATCATCATCATCATCACGATGATCCCCATCATCTTTTTATGACCATTTAAGTTGGTGGCGGGGAGGAAGGGGCCCAGGAAGGTACCAGCTACCAGTCATTATATAACCCAATTTGCTTGCTGTCGTTTTGCTGGGTTCTCCGGATGCTAGTGCGGTGACGCATTTTTAACGGATGCGCTTCTACAAACAGACGACGTTACGCGCAACAGCCTTCGGCCGACCTGCCCTGTTGCCGTTTACACTCCTGTCCATCTTGCTTCCTCCTCCTGATCGCCTGGCTTTCGTGTTCCCCCTTCCCGAGTTCAAAACAAGAATGTTGTTATCGAAGACAACGTCCTGGCATTCCAGGAATGGGTCAGAAATGTCGCCAAAGTGGACACAGATAAGTACAACTTTGGCCGAACAGAAGAATACGATGTCTACAGAGAAGCAATGAGTCTGCTGCGTCCAGAGCCAGCGACTTCTGGAACCTGGCAGTGGATGTCTGCCTGCTTCCAGGCCGAGAAACCTAGCAGCAAAACTGTGCCAAATCACATCACTGATATGCATGGGAGGATGGTATGTATAAATGTATATATATATACTACGAAAGCCAGCCGAAGGCCTGGGCTGAGTATAGGTATAAGCGAAGCGAAGCGAAGCGAAGCTAATCTATAGGGGGTGTGGGGGGGGGAGGCTCTGATTTGGGCCCGTTTGGGAAGGTGAGGCCGGAGCCTGGCTGGGGAGAGCTCCAAAAATGACCTGCCGCACTTCCGTTTTGTGGAGCTTGAAAGAGAAGCCCCATTTTGGACATTTGTTGGTGGTTTTCTGACGTTTTTTATCGGGTTTCAAAAGCCAAAACACTGTAATTTACAGTGGTTTTGTGCTTTTGGCATGGAAAAAGTACTTCTTGCAACATGCTGAAAACTGCGTAAATACTACTGTTTTTGCTAGGTGCTGGCCACAAAACACAGTAAATACCGTGATTTTTGCTACCAGAAGCAAAAAACACCGTAAATACCGTGGGTTTGGGCTTGCGAGGTATTAAAAACACGGTATTTACGGCGTTTTTTGCTCCGAGTCTCTTCAAAAAACACGTAAACACAAGCTATTTGACAATTTTTTGGCTTTAAAAATGACTGTAAAAAAACATGCAGCAACAACAACAACAACTACTACTACTACTACTCCTACTACTCCTACTACTACTACTCCTACTACTCCTACTACTACTACTACTCCTACTACTACTACTACCACTACTACTACTACTACTACGACGACTACTACGACTACTACGACTACTACGACTACTACGACTACTACGACTACCACTGTGTGTAAAAGCATTTCGGTGTAAAGATGTTTGTGTATAAAAGGGTCTGTATGTAAAAGCCTCTGTGTGTGAAGGCGTTTGTGTGTAAAAGTGTTTCTGTGTAGAGATGTTTGTGTGTAAAAGGGTCTGGGTGTAAACGTGTTTGTGTGTAAAAGCGTCTGTGTGTAAAAGGGTCTGTGTGAAAAAGCGTGTGTGTGCGTAAAAGGGTCTGTATGTAAAAGGGTCTGTGTGTAAAAGTGTCTGTGTGTAAAAGGGTTTGTGTGTAAAAGCATTTCTGTGTAAAGATGTTTGTGTGTAAAAGGGTCTGTGTGAAAAAAGCGTGTGAAAGGGTCTGTGTGTAAAAGGGTCTGTGTGTAAAAGCGTCTGTGTGTAAAGGTGTCTGTGCGTAAAAGGGTCTGTGTGTAAAAGGGTCTGTGTGTAAAAGCGTCTCTGTGTGAAGATGTTTGTATGTAAAAGCGTCTGTGTGTAAAAGTGTTTCTGTGCAAAGATATTTGTGTGTAAAAGGGTCTGTGTGTAAAGCTTCTGTGTGTAAAAGGGTCTGTGTGTAAAAGCGTCTGTGTGTAAAAGCGTCTGTGTGTAAAAGCGTTTGTGTGTAGTGTAAAAGGGTCTGTGTGTAAAAGCGTCTCGGTGTAAAAGCGTCTCTGTGTGAGGAATTGGTGTGTAAAAGCGTCTCTGTGTAAAAGTGTTTCTGTGTAAAGTTGTTTGTGTGTAAAAGGGTCTGTGTGTAAAAGTGTTTGTGTGTAAAAGCGTCTGGGTGTAAAAGGGTCTGTGTGAAAAAGCGTGTGTGTGTGTGCGTAAAAGGGTCTGTGTGTAAAAGGGTGTGTGTGTGTAAAAGTGTCTGTGTGTGAAAGGGTCTGTGTGTAAAAGGGTCTGTGTGTAAAAGCG